TAAGTGTATCTAAAGTTTGTATTATAAGCACAATTCAGAATGATGGTTTCATTTATGAGTGTTTATGCACAGAGCTGCTTTGTCTTTTGTTTTACAGCAGTTCTACGTGTTGAATCTCATTCCCTTATAAAAGGTAACCTTCATGTAGAAATCTGTATCAACTGAATGGGAAAAAAACAAGTCTTATTTATAATTTATAAAAATTTTAATGTTAAGTTTACTTATGTAAATACTAAATGAACTTTTCGCTATATCAGAACATGTATATTATTTTCATAATACCGGTATTGTAGGAAATGTTCAGTGTTAAGTTTAATTACGAAATTGCACTTTTTTTCTATACCAATACATTATAACCATTATATTGTAGGAAATGTTCAGTCCCTCCTGAAGTTAACTCCGTGGAACTGGAAGCACCTGAACACTTCAGTCAAAGTGGACACCCCGGTCTCCGTGGACATTTCTGTCTTGTCTCAATACAGACTCACGGGAAAACACTTCAATAAGTATCAGCGTCAGTACACGAAGAATAAATTTTAAATAAAAATGCTAGATGTAGTTGAAGTGTATGTCCCAATTTTTTTTTTAAAATTCATCTGTTGATTTTTTAACTATAATGATTATGATAAATATATACAAATGTATTTTTACAGACATACAGAGATCAAGGGATTGTTCAGCTATTCTAAAATCTACCCCGCATACAAAGGGGACAAATGGCGTTTATGTCATCTACCCTGACTTAAAGACAAAGAAATTGGTCTACTGCGATATGACAACAGAGGGCGGCGGATGGACGGTAAGGATTTTCTAGAATATTAATTTTATGTTTATTAAAGGAGTTTCATTTCATCTTTCATCTCACCTTATACAACATTCATCTCACCTTGTACAACATTTTATTTGTACATTAAAAATGCTTGAACTGAGCTTTTGGTTGTTAAGATATAGTGAAATCACTTTTTTCTTAAAACAGGTTATTCAACGTAGACTGGACGGGTCTGTAGATTTTTATAGATCCTGGAAGTCTTATAAGGAAGGATTTGGTAATGCTGAAGGAGAATACTGGTTAGGTAAGTATGTTGCCATAGATTATATCTTTTAAAGTGATCCTTCGAAATTGTACACAATCCCCCCCCCAAAAAAAAAATTCTGGTTGTTTCACACTAGAGATACCTGTCTCTCCTCCAAGAAATATACCGGTATATTCAAGATCGTTTCCTGACAATTTCCCTAACACTTCTTATATTTAATTTTCCGTTTACACTTAAGCAGGAGATTAAGGTAATTTTTGATTATGGGTTAAATAAACCTCAAAATAAATAAATTATTTTAATATTTTTTCCACCAAGGAAATGAAGTAATTCATTCACTCACCACAAAAACAAAACAAGAACTGAGGGTGGATCTTCAGAATTTTTCAAACAAAAAAGCATTTGCCAAATACTCAACATTTTCCCTTGGGAGCGAGTCCCAGAAATACAAGTTGACAGTTGGTGGATACAGCGGCACTGCAGGTATGTTTGGTTCTCAATAAAGCACTTTGACTTCTTACAAATGGATGTGATTCATAAAAAACAGGTTAGCAGAAATTCATCAGTGAGGCTATCAAGAGCTGACTTAAATAGCTGACATTGCATCTATTCTGTTATAAAACTATATTCATTATTAGAGGCAGATTTTTTTTTAACTCAGAAAACAGTATGCTAAATTATGTAAACACAAACGAATACAATATCAGCAGTCTCTCATTGCAAGGCTTGAAGCTTTAAATGAGGATAATCCCAAACTTTACTGGAACCTTGTGAACCATTTTCTTGACAAAAATAATGCAGTAGATACAACTATTCATCCTGATAGACGGCTGGATCATTTTACAAAATTAAATGATGTGAGAGAGTCATATTTTGACAGGCTAAATGAATTGAAAACGAAAATTTCTCAAATGGAAAATAAACAATGTTTTAACGAATTAGACTATACAATGAGTTCTTCGGAAATATCAGAGGCAATTTCTTGTATTAAATATGATAAATCTCCTGGACTAGACAACATTTCCAATCATATGATTAAATACGGTCACTGCTCTACTACCATCTTTAAGAAATATTTTCAATGCTTGCTTATCACATGGACTTTATCCCAAATCATGGGCTGAGGGATACATTACTGTTCTGCATAAGACAGGCTATATCAATAATCCAAACAATTATTGTGGCATTACCATCACTAGTGCAATTGGTAAATTATTTAACAGTATTTTGAATAAAAGACTTGATAAATATCTAGAAAAAAACAATATTATTAATGATTGTCAAATTGGTTTCTGTAAAAAGGCAAGAACATCTGATCACATGTTTATTTTAAGAACTTTATTTGAAACATATTGCTCTCAGAAAGAAGGACGACTCTATGCATGTTTCATTGACTTAGAAAAGCATTTGACACAGTAATACATGAAGGCATCAAAATTAAACTGCTAGAAATTGGGGTTGGATCTAAATTTTACAATGTAATTAAGAGTATGTGAAATTGTAGTAGATCATGCATTAAGTTAAACAATCAAGTCACTGAGACATTCCCTATTAAGTTAGGAGTTAAACAGGGAGACAATTTAAGTCCAAATTTATTCAAAATTTTTATCAATAATCTTCCAGAATACTTCAATAATATAACTGATGATAATATTCAGTTACATGATAAATTACTTCATTGTCTAATGTATGCAAATGATATAGTTTTATTGTCCAAGTCATCAAAAGGACTTCAACAAAAACTTAATTGTCTTGATAAGTTTTGTACTGACTGGTGCCTTGATGTAAATGTTTCAAAAACCAAAGTATTAATCTTTTATAAAGTAGGTAGACACTTGAAAGAAAACTTCACACTAAACAAAGAACTTCTTGAATGTGTTACTTCTTATAAATACTTGAGCATACATTTCACTGCATCTGGAAGTTTTACACTTGCTCAGGATGAACTTTACAAAAAAGCTTCAAAGGCATTTTTTAAATTACAAAAAAATTTCCTATCATTGAACCCTAAAATAAACACAGCTTTACATGTATATGATCATACAATAAAACCCATATTACTTTACGGTAGTGAAATTTGGGGGGGGGGGCTTTAACACTACTACATCACCATTTAGAAATGGACCCATTGCACTGGATGAATTATTTTCTAAGTCACTTTGTGAGAAATTACATTACAAGTTTTGTAGATTTTTATTAGTTGTAAATAACAAAAGTACAAAATTTGCAGTCCTTTCAGAACTTAGGTAGACACCCTATGAGTTTCAGTATTGTTCAGAATATATTGAAATACTGGCATAGGTAAGAGAATTTTGATGATACATATCCTCTATTAAAAGCTGTGTATACTACCTCGGTATCCAATTTCAATAAAAACAAATTATCATGATTTGGTTCTATTGATATGTTTAATCAACTTCTTCCTTAGTTAACACCTCATCTGAAATCATCTACATCAACATTTAATAGCCATTCTCTGTAAGCATTTAGACTCTTATATAGGGAGTGTGGCACGCATGGTCTTGGATTTTTATGAAACTTGGCATACATTCCTATATTGATGTATGTACCTAAAATTCATAATAAAATGGTTGCTATGGTCCATGGTTACCATGGCAACAAACATACAATTTTCATGGCCTAAAAATTGCTAAATTTTGATGAAAAATGACCCTTTTTGACTTATTAAAAGTCTTTAATGGAACAAGCTATCAACATGACTTTACCTTTTTGCCAAAATACATCATTTTACAGTGCTTTAGAAAATTTTTAGTATTTCAGTAACTTTTTCCTCATAGAAAAAATATCCCTCATTTATAGGTAGGATTTTTCTTATGGAAAATTGTAGATTTTAGGCTCTTTTGAAAAGCTTGGTATAAATTTTTGCGGATAGTTTGGAAAAAATGAATACATTGGTTTGAAAGTCCACATATAGTTCTAATATACACTACAAAGAACTACTTGGTATTCATATTTAGTTTTCTTGTTACCATGGTTACAAACTTATGCTTTTTTTCAAAATCCTAGAAAAGTACAATACGTAGATACAATCAGGATCCATGTAATTGCCTGAGTATTTTAAAATGGATTAAATCAAATTTAGATATATGGTAAACAATAGCAAAAACAAAGCGAAAAAAATCAATTTTCATGACTAAGGGTCAAAGGTCAAGGTCAAAATGGCCGATTTTGATAGATATTTAAGAAAACTAAACAACATTTTTTCTGTGTCAGAAGTAATATTTGTGTTTTAAACAACAAATGAAGAAACAAAGTTACAGTTCTGGTCAACAATAACTAGCATCATATGAATGTGTGCCCATATGGACAGAAGGTCAAAGTTCAAGGTCACAGTAGTATTTAAAGAACTATGCACGCTAACTCTCAATTCCCGCCTATATTTTGCTACCATTTTGTTCAATATAAATGGCAATTTAGCCATAAAATCTTAATTAAATATAAAAAACAGTTAAATGGTATTTGATTCATTATTTTAATACCAGTGCTAAATAGTATATTATCCCTTATTCCAACTCTTGAAATAAGGGGGGGGGAAGGGGTCGATGATATTTTCCATTGAAATCGGACTTTCAAGCATCACCGTATTTTGAAAAAATCTTGGATGTAATAAAATGTTACGCAGATTTTTTCTCATGTTTTACACAAATAAGTAAAACATACTAGTATATATATTAATAAAATACACAGTTTTAGCTGTTAATCACTTTGAAATTGGGAGAAAATAGGCATTTATTTTCGTTTTTTTTTTTTTTTTGTCTATAAAAATACCCCCCCCCCCTCTGTCTGTTTTAACATTTTATTATCATGGGATATCTTAAGAAGCCTATGATCTTTTTCAATTTGAGTTTATACCACAACTTGCTTTGGCTTAAAATGACCCCTATTTATTTCTAGGTCAAAAGGTAAAGGTAGAAAAGACATTGTTTGTATGTAAACCTCTCATTTCCGAGTGATATCTCAAAAAGCGTTTAGGTTAGCTTAATTTTTGTTCATAACGCTCTATGGTCCCGCCCGCCCCACGTTAAGTGTCTAGATCCCCTACCCAACCACTCTCCGACACCTCCCCCCCTCTTAATCTACAGAAATTCTTATCTCCTTAAGCAGGGGACACATATTCTTTGAATTAGCTTGTTAATAATGCATTTATACTCGGTTATTCGGAATATTGGTATTGTAAATGTTGTATCCTGACCTCGATCCCGTATATTGAATGTATTTTATTGAAAACTGGTTTTACATTCTCCCTTTAGCTTGATGCATAATGTGAAAAAGCTTATATAAGTACAGTTTTAAGGTTTTATTGATATAAAGGTAGGCATTTAAGAATATTGGACGACTATACACTTTCCAAATTGAGTGCAAGACTTCTTGTATGTAGAGAATTGCGCTACAAGCATGTAAAGACACTCTTTTGTTGTTTTAGTAAACTAATCCCTTGCTCCTAAATGTACATTTTTTAAACCATATCTAACAATCCGAGCTTTTCAAGTGACAGTCAAAATGTGTTTTCCAGTGACTTTTTTTCAGAGAAGTTGACGGAAAAATCTAATTTACTTTGAAATATCATTCTTAAAAAAATGAGATTTTTGCGATGTTGATGGCAAATATTTCAACACAAATATGCCTTGATCTACGCAAAAGATCTGATATTCCCAAAGTTTATAATAATCTGTTGTAAACATCTGCTGGACCTGTTCGAATAATCTGCTATTGTGCTTTAATTAATTGTTTTTTTATGTGGGGGGGGGGGTCAGAAAATTATTTTCATTATTAATAAAATACTGCTAGACAGATTTAATATTGTATTGCTATAAGTTTAAATCATAATGTATCTTAGTCTAGAGAAATGATAAACCGTTAACTTTAAATTTGATTCACAGACAATTTGTATTTCTATGCAACTACCCCAATCATCAAAAGGATATTTTTGACTGGTAACAAAACATTTTATACTTGTTTATCCTGTTTAAAAACTACATAATATGGCTGCGTTTACTATGGGTTAGGGGACGACCTTTGATCCAGAAGGGGGGGGTTAAGTTAGGTTTATTTTCATGGCAGGACATATCATTTATTTCCAAGATGTTTTTTAGGGAAAATTATTAATTTTCTTCTTCACAGAAAAAAGTCTTAAGAGCAAAGAAAAAAAAACAATATATAAAATGCCCAAACTCTTTTTCATTTAGGAAGGGGGGGGGGGGGGGCTTGTATAGGTAACAATTTTAAAACCCAAATATAATATGTATTATACCATGGGTTTCAAAAAATTTTGCTGAATTTTAAATAATGACCTGTGAATGGGAATTGTAGCTTTTATTCAGTATAATTTTTTTTCCCTTTCAGCCAAGGACATATTCAGTTTTTTAAAAATTTTTAGTCTCTATGATAATATTCAGTTTAAAAATTCATTTGCTTTCTAACGCCGTATTCATTGCAGTCCTCCAGTATATCACTCTGACTGATCGTAAGACACAGTAATTCTTTTAAAAAAAACAAATTCATAATACAAGTAATTCTGATATTTCAAGTTTATCTTGAATCCCGTTTTGAAACTCCTTAGACCTTGAGACTTATGCTTATGTACAGAGCTGATTTCCTGAACTACTATGTAGTCTAGCTTGTACATTTCACCATTTTTCACATATCAAAATTATTCTTTTGCATGTAGGATATAAACAGAGGCTAAAATTTGTATGCAAATTAAATAAACAGGAAAAACAGTTGATTTTACTTGAATTCCTGGATATACAGAGCTGTATGCTGACATTATGTAAACAACTTCCAGTCATTTTTGTATAAATTAAATGATTTTTTTATCTTTCTCACTAAAGAGCTCACAATTATCAAAGGGAGATAATTCAGTTTCAAAGTTATTGTCTGCTATTTTATTCAAAGAATTCTCATATTTATAGGGAGCATACCAACAAGGTTTTAACATGCCTTTTAAAGATAGATGTTATATTTCTTATTTCTGTGAGTAACATGAATTGAAGTAGCCGCATTTCTTTAAAAAACTTTCCCAAATATTGCATTTTTTCACAAAAAATCAACTTTAGACACCGTTTCCATGGTAACTACTCAACATTAATATGATCTAACTATATTTTTTGAAGTAGTTTATGAGGTGGTACTTTCCAGCAAAATTTAAAAAAAATCTGTGACTATGCGTGCCACAAAAGTTTAAGTGGTTACAGAGAATGGGTATTAAATATCATTGTAAATGCATTCTAAATTAATATTTTCTTGAAAAATGGCATCAAAAGAATGAAGAATTAAGTAATTGTGGGAAATTGGACACCTATTGCACAATTAAACAGAACTTTGGGCTAGAACCTTATTTATTAATTTTAAGAAAGTTTGAAAAAAGAAAGATTCTAACAAAATTTAGAATATCTTCTCACAATCTGATGATTGAAAAAGGTAGACATTACGGTATTCCAAGAGAAGAGAGAATATGCCCCAATTGTAAAATAGAAAAGATAGAAGATGAAGTACATTTTCTTTTAAGTTGTCCATGCCATAGTCAATCAAGAATAAATTTACTATCCATGATATCTATGAGGTGTCATCTTTTTAATAGCTTGTCAAAAAATAACCAATTTTTATGGTTAATGAACTGTGAAGATGTTGATTTGCTGTTCAAATTGTGTGAATTCATGAGTCATGTATAGTTCGACAAATTCAAAATCATTTGAAGTACCTTAGTTGGATAATTATGCTACACTATTTAAAGGTGTTGTTGATATGTGTGTTGTATTATATACTCTACATTGAACAGAAGTGGATAACTTTAATACATGTATAATAACAATATACTATCCTTCCGCACCGACTCTTGCTGTCCATTGTAGTTTAATTTAATTAACACATGTGTCAATGTATTATTTATTTATATAATATATGTTTATCTCCATAAATTTTATGTCTGTTTATTCTACATGAGGCAGAAGTGGAATTCTGTATATCCTTTACCACCGACCCTTGCTGCCTCCTGTTGATGTTTCAAACATGGTTTTATGTGTTTTGATATGTATATATTTACATATATATGTATACCATGAATAATACTTATGCACATTTTTTGTACAACAACCCATCATGCATGTCTATATATGAAACTTAAAAATGCCACCAACATATATATCAGTATATATATATACTTAATAGAAGAATTGCTCTTCACCACATGTTGTAATCTGTCTAATACTTTATTATGTTTATATGTAATTATATATGTTATATGTTTATGCCTAATCGGCCCTGATTGATAATAAATTCTATTATATTCTATTCATAATAAATAAATGGAAAAAATATTATTGTATTTAAAGGAGACAGCTTAAGATATCACAATGGGAGAGGGTTTTCCACTAAAGATCAGGATAATGACCTGTATGGTAAATCCTGTGCTGTCGTGCATAAAGCGGCGTGGTGGTTCCACAGCTGTGAATACTCTGACCTAAATGGACCGTACCACAAGTCCGCCGTTAAATCGTGGGCCTCTGTAGTGTGGTATTACTTTGGTAATGACAACCGTTCCATGAAGTTTGCAAGAATGATGATCAGACTCAAAAGTTAGAGAAAGAAAATGGAATGAATGAATAAATGATAAAACAATTTATATCTCTGTGTTTCATTCAGATCTCATCATCCTCTGATAATGGTTGTCTTATATAAAAAGAAAAAATAACAACCTAATGCAGAAGGACGATGATTTGTAATACTAGTAATAAGTTATAAAAACGAGGGATTTTCATTTGTTGAAGAATATCAGAATAGAATGCGGACAGTTGTGCAGAAAGTATGGTCTTCCAAAGTATCTTTAGAAACGTATACTGCAACTACGTAATACACATGTAAATAAATCCTTTTTTACTAGAAATGTTCGAGTTCACCATGTTCTTGTAAAAGATACGTACAATATAATATTTTGAGCTTTTTCAAGAAGTGTTGTAAATCAGGTTTAGATACTTAGAACATCCACTTCCACATTGACAAACGAGATGACCATGCGCAGATCTAGAAGTGGGTCGGAGGGCCCAACACCCACCAACCAACCCCCCTGAAATCTGCAGTTATCTGATATGTATATACATGAACTGAATCAAGTAAAAGTGACCTTGGAACCCATTCCCACTAAAAAACGCGGACCCCTCCTTGGAAACGCAGATGTATATGAAATTTGATGGAAAAGTACTAGGTCTGAAGCTTGAAGATCATCGAATAACTCTCTTCACAGCCCTACCCCACCAAATCCCCCATTAAATACCCGGTAGGTTTTTCACGTTTGGGAAATTAGGTGTGGTTTTATTTTGCTTGACAAAAAAATTCTGGGTTGGTATTTTTTGTGTGTGTGTGACTGGGATGGAACCCCCACCCCGACCCTTGAAAACTTCTTGGAATCGTGCCTATTGACTTTAACTTTTCAACACTCAGCTTCACTTCATTATGCAGCAATATACCTTCATTACCTGCATACAAGGTTTATATCTCTCAGTTGATTCGATACGCATGAAGGAAAAGCTATAAGGATCGATAGTATGGTGAAAAAAATTAAAAGGAATAATGACGCCAAAACGTAGCATGCAGTGAACACGGAAGTGCATGTTAAACCGTTGATTATGCGACATTGGATTCTAATAATTTGTACGCAATAGATTCCTTCTACAACACATAATAAATGAAATCAAAATTCATTATTTGAGATTTTCTAAGCGTCTTAAAAACAAATAAATTATGAACATCTGCAGACCAACGGTTCGCGCACTGCTTGGGATGAGTAATCTGGAATTAGGGATTTGTAATCTTCAAATACACAAGTTTGCATGCGAATTTCTTTCATAAAAAGTGAAAAATAAAAAAGTTAGTTAAAAACACGGAAAGAAGAAAGATCTTTATTGACATGTATTTATTCAGGGAAGTAGTATCGGCGGAGGGGGGACTCTTTTTTTTTCAGACATAACTTTTTACAACAAAAATGTTTACTAAAAGACTGAATTGGCCCCTATTGTTGTAGTATAATAAAATAAAGTAATACGGTTACCTATGAATAAAATTTGACTTTGAAAAATATTGAGAAATTGCACTAGTAATAGTGAACATTTTTGACGACTTGGTATCATAATATCAAAACACGACTGTATATTATCATTGTACTTCAAAACAGTATATTTACAAGAAACATATTGACGCAAGCGTCAAAAATCGGCCGCAAACCAATTTATATATAACTGCTGAAATTATTTCAGAAACTGAAATTTGCTTCTTTTTTTTAAATTTCTTTATATTTATCTGTTAAAATATCCTCGTGACACGAAAAAAAAATGCATGCGACAATGCCGATTTTCTTCATGCATAATGCATGTACAATATTACATGTATAGGCAATATAAACTGTGCATAGTCCTCTGCGTCTCTGCACTCAGTTTGGTACAACTTAACGAACTCTGCAGGTGAGTTTGCTGTTTAAGTAGTTTTTACACAAAACGTACAAAACTAAAGTTTAAACTTAGCTATAGTTTTACCTTAATAAAAACGCAACAAATATATAAAATGTGGGGCTCCTCGCTCTCTCTTAGAGGATGTTACCCCCCCCCCCCCAACTCCTTCTAGATCCACCACTACATTTCTTCTCTTTCAATCTCTTTGTTTTGGTGTTGAGATGTGGCGGGAAAATGTTTGGCACATTGTAAAACGCGCTCTATCCTAGTCTCCTGGACTAACGTGTCGTAATATTCTTTGCTTTTAAGAAATCAATATTTCATCATATTTTTGAAAAACATCCATAGGAAATGTTTAAATATACACTTCATTTCAAATAAATACAGCAGATCCTGTTTTAAAAAGAGAAAGTAAAATTGTTGATTTACAACGCGGTCTTTGTTTTAGACTATGCCTAACACTCGTACTAATTTTCTCCGCACTTCAGTTATATCAGAGTTTGTCAATCAGGATTGGATGAAATATTTACCCCATTATTTATAAAATTTAATTTTACGATTATCATGATTATTGTGCTTTTTCCTAAACATTTACACAATCTTTGTTTAATATTGATTCGCCGGCGATATGAATGTTGAATATTTTTATTTAAATTGTGAACTCCGCAGAAACGCACAGCGACTTAAAACTTTCATATCATATAACCGACCGCCTCCTGGCGGCCGGTAATAAATATCGTATTACACTGTATATTGTCAGGAAAGCAATATTGTATTACAATTTAATGATGCCAGTAATGTATATATAATACAAAATTTTATTTTAAATAAGTGTATCTTTGTAAGCCCATCAAAATCATGGTATCATCTAAAGGTCTTTACGCTCTAGGCTGCTTTTTCTTTTGTTTTACAACAGTTTTGAGTTTTGTACCTCATTCCCAAATAAAAGGTAACCTTTAGGCCATATAAAATTAATCTTTAGATTCTCATCCCCGCCCGCCCATCTCAAAATGTCCCGCCCCGATGTTTTTTATTTTGATTTTTGGGTATTTTCTTGTATTTTTATTCAGTAAGAATTTGGGTCAAAGTTTAAGAGTTATCTCCCGTCTTATTAAAATTCGCGTTTATAGCAAAAACGCCATGTGAAGAATGGAGAAAAATCGGCAATAAAAGCAGTTTAAATGTGTAAGGAAAAGATAATTTGTCAGTATAGAGAAGGCAGAGAAGAAAAAATAGCATAAACACATATAGATACCATCACTGGCAGGAGCAAGTATGTAGAGAGATTGTAACTAAGTAAAAATAGACGAGGAAAGTCAAGTTATATATAACGATCTCCAGTTGTGTGACTTAGCTTTGAAATAAAAAAAAAATCTACAACATCGTAGACAGACTTAAGAGAAGGGCTAGATATTTCAGTAGAATAATTATTAGAACATTTATATAGAATTTGCAAAGTAAGAAGTCACTCATACACAATTTATTGGTATCCCCACCTCATTTTGTTCAGGGTGTGCCGTATAATCTGTACTTGTTAATTTGTTAATTAACAATAAATATTTAACTTTTAAAGAAAAAAATTCTTTAAATATTTAAAAGAATATGAAAAGAATTAAATCTATTCATATTTGCATTAAGGTAATGAAAAAATGTGTACGGGGCGTCCATTGTTTTGTTGATACTTAGGCCTATATATAAATTAACAATTATAAAATATAAAAAATAAAATCCGCCCACCCGCCCCAATTTTTTTGCAAATTAGGATGAGAATCTAAAGATTAATTTTACCTGGCCTTATGTGATGAATTTGCTAATCATATCAACTCTTTGCTATTCCAATACATTGTATCCATAATATTGTAGGAAATGTTCAGTCCCTACTAAAGTTAACTCCCTGGAACTGGAAGCACCTGAACACCTCAGTCAAAGTGGACACCCCAGTCTCCGTGGACATTTCTGTCTTGTCTCACTACAGGCTCACGGGGAAACACTTCAATAAGTATCAACGTCAGTATATGAAGACTTAGTTTTAAATAAAAATGCAAGATAGAACTATATGCCTGATATTGTTTTTGATCCCTGCTACCAAAAAAAAAAATGAATTAAATTAATCAATTAAATAAAATTTCTTAACCACTCAATACCAGTATCAATATTAGTAAATTAAAACTTTCTATTTTTTGTGCAATTTTTCATGGGTTGTTTTTTATTCAGTTTATGATAATAACAATACACAAATGTATTTCTTTACAGACATACAAAGATCAAGGGATTGTTCAGCTATTCTAAAATCTATTCCACATACAAAGGGAAGAAATGGAGTTTATGTCATCTACCCTGACTTAAAGACAAAGAAGCTGCCCTACTGCGATATGCCTACAGAGGGCGGGGGATGGACAGTAAGAATGTTTAAAACGCTCTTTAGTGTAAAACACATCAATTTTATGTTTAGTGAAGTGTTTTCACTTTATCGTCACCTAAGTATAAATGAAAACATTTCATTTTTTACAAAAAGAAAAATAACAGTAAACAATATGCAGGAATTGTGCATTGGATTGTGAAGATAAGTGAAACCTCTTTTTCTTACAAAAGGTCATTCAACGGAGATTGGACGGGTCTGTAGATTTTTATAGATCCTGGAATTCTTATAAGGAAGGATTTGGTAATGCTGAAGGAGAATACTGGTTAGGTAAAATTATGCTAAAGATTTAGCTTTTTTTTAAAAAGCAATCCTTCGAAAATTGTGAACAATTTCGAAAAAAAAGTTTTCCAGGTAATTCACCCTAGAGATATTTGTCTCTCCTTCTAAAAACATTTTTCGACAGGTACCCACTATGATTAAAATCAGGTCCTCGATCCGGTTCTTTATTTAATTTATTGTTGATACAAGAGGTAGCGGCAGTAAGAAAAAAATAAAGGAGCGGATCGAGGACCTGATTTTAATCAAATTGTTACGTACTATATATATAATAATTATCCCCCCTCCCCAAAAAACACTTATTTTTAATTTTCAGTTTAGAAACTGAAGCACGTTTAGTTTGACTAAGTGGTTAAATAAGCTACAAAATAAATAAGGTTTTTCGATGTTTTCACCAAGGCAACGAAGTAATTCATTTACTCACCACAAAAACAAAACAGGAACTGCGGGTGGATCTTCAGAATTTTTCAGACAAAAAAGCATTTGCCAAATATTCAACATTTTCCGTTGGAAGCGAGTCGCAGAAGTACAAGTTGACAGTTGATGGATACAGCGGCACTGCAGGTATGTTTGGTTCTCAGTAACTCACGGTTACAAATTTTGATTCATAAATAACACGAAAGCCGAAATTCAGCAGTGAGGCTATCGTTTTGAATAGTTGATTTTTGTTAAACTACAAGTATATCTATAGTAAATAAAATGAAAAAAAACGTTTGTATTCAAAGGAGACAGCTTAAAATATCACAACGGCAGAGGATTTTCCACGAAAGACCAAGATAATGACTCTGATAGAATTTCATGTGCTGTCGAGAGGAAGGCGGGGTGGTGGTTCAAAAGCTGTCAGTACTCTCTCCTAACCGGACCATATCACAAGTCCGCCGTTAAATCGTGGGCCTCTGTACTGTGGTATTACTTTGGTAATGACAACCGTTCCATGAAGTTTGCAAGAATGATGATCAGACCCAAAAGTTAGAAAAAATGAATAGAATGAATAAATAAATATGAAAGATTTGAAGTCTGTGTGTTTTACTGAGATCTATCATCCTCGAATAACTTTTAATACATGAGTACTAGGCATTTTGATAGTAGGTTATAATAACGAAGCAATTCATCAATCTCCTATGCAGAGTTGTCAATTCGTGTAAAACTAAAACTCAGACAAAAAATGAAATATGAGCCGATGGTGAGAGTGTATGAGCCTCTCTCTCTCTCTTCATTGGTCAAAGAAATTTAGGATAGAACATGGACATTTATGCAAAGAGTACATGACATTTCAAAATATAATTGTCAATTAATCTAAAACTTTGAACATCATATTTTTTTAAATACTATTGAGCTTCAAAGTTACGTACATGTGCAATTTTATCGATGGTTTTCCTCTGGTTTTCCTTCCTATTCTGCCCGAGAGTTATTCCCCTTACCCACCATGTTGTAGGGCAAAGCAGTGAATTTTCCTCTTTAAGCAATCAATTTGAAACATGCATGCCAGAAATATATGGGGGAAAATATTTAAAATCTTAAAATAATGAATTAAAAGAGGCTTTAACAAACATATATTCATACGAAAAATAATGTTATCTTTACCTTAGTAACCAGTATAACAAGTTAACAAATTGAACTTGGTTGAATAATGAAGGGATCTGGGAATGTTGCCCTACAATATGGCGGCCATGGGGAATAAAACTTGCTTAATCGCCTCAATGGAAAACCATCTATTGTACAGTGTATGAACTGATTTCCTCACATCTGGTCGGGACAAGATTATCATGAACTTGTGCATACAGGTCGTCGTAAATTATTAATTCCCGTGTAAAAATTCTGTCGTATTAAGACGCAGCAGAACTTATGTAAGCTAGGCTTTCTTTTAAAATAAATTGATTGTCTTCTTCTAGCCGAATGGCTTAAAAACTTTTTCCAACCTCCAGGAATTCAGATATTTTTTTCTCTTTACATTCCTGAATGTTCCCATTCCGTCAACATATATATTGAAAGACGGCATAAGTATGTTATACCTTTAAAAAAATGTTTTTATACAAATCTATACCAAAAAAATTGAACATCTCTAATGTTTTACTGAGCAGGCATAAAAAAAATCGATGTTTGACCGATGGTTGAGATGTTAGACCTGTCGAAGTGTCGATGATATGTGGGACCGCTTACTTCTCACAGTAGGCGGAGCTTTATATCGTTGAACAGTAATGGACCTGAGGTTTACATCACAGAAGACATTTCAAGATTTATGAATGTCAAAAAGATATTTAAAATGAAAGGTATAGCAGAACATTTATTGACTTAGTCCGAAATATCTGACGTTTTCCAGGCTTTTTAATCGCATGTTGCCCTCGAACCTGTATATTGTTTATTGCATAAATCTCCATTTTTAAGTCTATTTCAGTGGAATGAGCATGTCCAATCTCACATAATATTCTGGGAAAAGATACAATATTAGGTTTTTTTCATCTTTAAGTTATGATCCCCGAATCAGATACTTTTAAAAAAAACAGTATTTTATGTGTTACGCGATATCAGAATGATTTATTTCTGTTTCTCTATCTTATATCAGGTCAAGGAAGATTATTTTTACTACAGACTCTCCATTATGGGAAGGAAAATCGAGAGTTTTACTACACTTCTGAAATCCTTTCAAACTGTGACAGGATATCACTTTTATTCAATGAATAAATTATGTAATATTTCACTAGTAAAAATGTAATAAATGTACAACTTGGCCCAGGAAAAAGTTTTTATGGATGTACTTAAAAGAATCAAAAATGAAAAATTCAGAATAGAAGATACATCTCTTTTAGCTGAGATATCCCATCCTTAATATGAAACAATTCCTTATCATTAAATGTATATCTTTTAAAATACTCTGACATTTATCAAGTCATTTAAGAGTATTAAGAGAATTAACACAGGTATTTATAGACAGAACACCCCCTCCCCGATAAAATACCAATCCCGGGGCTTGCTGGATATTTCTTCACAATTATATCTACATGTATTACACTTATTTATTAACAATACCACAGGAAAAGTCGGGAAAAACTGGATAATAATCATTCCATACTATCTTTCCTTTCCACAAGTACCAGTGAGAAAGATTACATTTATTCATTTATCAAAGACCATCATCACAATGTTAAGGTTTTGTGATTTCGGGACTATACGCATCTGTGTTAGTGTTCCAAAAAACACAGAACCCTGACACTTTGGAATTCTTGCATTTTAATTTGGTGCCAGATGTCGGTCTATTTTGGACACTCGTGTAGGAGAGAGAGGGGGTGAAACATATGGAGATAACGAACAGTATTCAAGATCAAAAGACCATAAAACAATACGATATAGAATCAGAGCAAGCACAGACCTCAAAAACATCAGAGGTGGGATCAGGTGCCACGGAGGAGTGAGCATTCCCTGCTAACCGGTCACACCCACCGTGTGGTTCTTGTCATGATTGAGAAATGACGAGAAAATTCAGTGTATAAATAATGGTCTAACAATAAGAATGAAAAACGTCAGTCAGCATTTGACTTAATGATAAATTTAAAAGCTAGTTACTGCTAGATATACAAAACTATTATAGAATACTTATATTCATATTTTTCATGTTCACTATAAAAGATTCAGCGAGAATCTTAGGGCCTCAAAATTTTGGTTTGACGTCAGACGTCTCTACGAATCTCGCTGAAATTATATAAGGATTCTGATGTCACATTCCCAGGAACTTTCAAAACATGAAGTGGACACAGGCCCCCTGATATTGTGAATACGATGATGTCAGTGCTCCAGTCATAGTTTTAATCAAACGTAGCCTGTAGTGAATACAGATGTACGTGTTCAGACATTGATTTTATGACATTGGATATTGTGAAAATATGTACGCTATTGATTCCTTATACTGTATGCTACTTATATCATAAATTTAATGTTTATAAAATTGATCTTATCTTTTCACCTTTCGAAAATTTTTAAGCGTCTTACTCACTCCATTTTAAAAATCAAATATGATTATCACATTTGCAGACAAACGATTCACTCATTGTTGGCACGAGTACATGGGAGGATAGGGATCTGTAGTTCTTCAGATACAAACGTTTAGATGTGGATTATTTTCAGGAAAAAAAGTTGAAAGTAAAAGGAAGTCAAAACACATATACAGAGACAGAGAAGAGCGAGAATTTATTAACTTATGTATTTATTTTGGAAATACAGTCATCTTTTTACTAATATATTAAGACTTTTAAAAGTATTTGGAATAACGCACATTTTCTGTTTTACAGTATATATAGATATACATGTACGTATCTATAATGTATAAAATCGGGTATTTCTGTGTTTCGTGAAGAAATAAAAATTTTCTGTCTATATATAATACTGTTTTTATTACCATAATTGTCAGGAGAACGATATTGCATTACAATTTAATAATGACAAAAAATGCATATAATTAGACATATTTTCAAATAAGTGTATCTTTGTATTATAAGCAAATATAAAAATTATGGTCTCATTTATGAGTGTTTATGCACAGAGCTGTTTTGTTTTTTGTTTTACAGCAGTTTGTGTATTGAACCTCATTCCCTTATAAAAGGTAACTTTCATGAAGAAATACCGTATAAACTTAATGAAAAAAAGTATAATATAATTTATAATTTATAAAAAAAAGTTTAATGCTAAGTTTAATTATGTAAATACTAAATGAACTTTTCGCTTTATCAAAAAATCTACATTATTTTCATAATATTGTAGGAAGTGTTCAGTGTTAATTTTAATTACGTAAATGTACTTTTTGCTATTCCAATACATTGTATCCATAATATTGTAGGAAATGTTCTGTCCCTACTAAAGTTAACTCCCTGGAACTGGAAGCACCTGAACACCTCAGTCAAAGTGGACACCCCAGTCTCCGTGGACATTTCTGTCTTGTCTCACTACAGGCTCACGGGGAAACATTTCAATAAGTATCAAAGTCTGTACACGAAGACTTAGTTTTAAGTAAAAATGCTAGATTAGTAGAAGTAGTTTAACTGTATGTCCGACATTTAAAAAAATCATCTGTTGATTTTTGTTAAAAACTATAATGGTTATAATAACGACTAGTATACAAATGTATTTTTTACAGACATACAAAGGTCAAGGGATTGTTCAGCTATTCTAAAATCTACTCCACATACAAAAGGAAGAAATGGTGTTTATGTCATCTACCCAGACTTGAAGACAAAGAAATTGGTCTATTGCGATATGACTACATAGGGAGGGGGATGGACAGTAAAATGTTTAAAACGTTCTGTACTGTTTAGAAGAAAAATCAAAATAATTCTCAATATATACATATATCTTAAGTGAAGGATTTTCTTTATCGCCATTTTGCATAAATAAAACCATTTTATTTGTACTTGAAAAATATCGGTAAACAAGATGCTGAAATTGTGCATTGCGTTGTGAAGATACGTGAAACCTCTTTTTCTTAAAACAGGTTATTCAACGTAGAATGGACGGGTCTGTAGATCTTTATAGATCCTGGAAGTCTTATAAAGAAGGATTTGGTAATGCTGAGGGAGAATACTGGTTAGGTAAGCTTGTACCATAGATCATGTAGACGAAAGAAAGTTTTCTGAATGATTCGCCTAAGATACAATGTATCTGTTTCTCCTCCAAAACAAAAAAAAGAGGCCCAAGGGCCACATTGCTCACTACAGCAACTGGCTAGATAAAAGCAAAAATCAGCCCAGTATTGAAATGTTTAACATGGGTTCATGGGAGGGGGTTATTCGAACAAACTTAAATCTATACTTCCTATGGATGCTTTTAAATCAATATGATACATAATGGCTTTGCTGTTTATAAGATGAAAATTTTTATCATTATATCCTATATATTCCTTTTTATAACTATTCTACACTTGAATGGCTTCTCTATTCTCCTGGTTGGTCATGATTTGAACAAATTTAAATCTACATTACCTTTTTGATGCGTTTATATTGATGATAAATCATGGCTTTGTTTTTCATGTAATGAATTTTAACGATTTTTCCTATGTACTCCTGCGTAAAACCTTGACCACCCATTGTGGCCCCACTCTAACCCAGGGGTCATGATTTGAACAAACTTGAATGTACACTACCTGAGAATGCTTCCACATGTGTTTCATATTTACTGGCCCATTTCTTGAGAAGAAAATTTTTAAAACATGCCATTAATTTTTCACTTATTCATAATTATCTCCCCTTGGAATAGAGCATGGCCCTTCTTTTTAACAAACTTGAATCCCCTTTACCCAAGGATACTTTGTGGCATGTTTGATTGAAATTGGCTGCGCAGTTCTTGAGAAGAAGATGAATATGTGAAAGTTTACGACGATGACAGACAACAGATAAAGTTTTATCAGAAAAGCTCACTGAAGCCTTTGGCTCAGGTTAGCTAAAATATTTCATACCATATATGATGATCTTTTCCCCTATAACCATTGATACTTATTTTCAGTTTAGAAACTGATACAAGAGGCACGTTTAGTTTTACTTAAAAATAAATAGAGTGTTTCAATGTTCTCCTCCCCAGGAAACGAAGTAATTCATTCACTTACCAAAAAAACAAAACAAGATCTGAGGGTGGATCTTCAGAATTTTTCAGGAAAAAAAGCATTTGCCAAATACTCAACATTTTCCCTTGGAAGCGAGTCCCAGAAATACAAGTTGAATGTTGATGGATACAGCGGCACTGCAGGTATGTTTGTTTCTCAATAAAGAACTTCAATTCGATCATAAACACATGGATTTGATTCATAAACATACGAAAGCAGAAATTCATTAGCGAGGCTATCAAGAGCCGAATTTAATAGCTTACATTGCATCTATTCTCTAATAAGACTATATTCATAGTAAATAGATAAAAAAAATTGTATTGAAAGGAGATAGCTTAAAATATAACAATGGGAGAGGGTTTTCCACTGAAGACCAAGATAATGACTCCAATGGTAGGTCCTGTGCTGCGTCGATGAGAGGGACGTGGTGGAATGGAGATTGTAGTAACTCTGGCCTAAACGGACCATACCACAAGTCCGCTGTCAAATCGTGGGCCTCTGTAGTATGGCTACACTTTGGTAATGACAACCGTTCCATGAAGTTTGCAAGAATGATGACCAGACCCAAAAGTTAAAAAATGAATAGATTGAATGAATAAATGATAAAACATTTAATATCTCTGTGTTTCATTTAGATCTCATCATCTTCTGATAATGGTTGTCTTATATAAAAAGAAAAAATAACAACCTAATGCAGGAGGAGGATGATTTGTAATACTAGTAATAAGTTATAAAAACGAAGATTTTCATTTGTTGAAGAATATCAGAATAGAATGCAGGCAGTTGTGCAGAAAGTGTGGTCTTCCAGAGTATCTTTAGAAACGTATACTGCAACTACGTTATACACATATAAATATGTAAAAGATACGAACAATATAATACTTTGAGCTTTTTCAAGAAGTGGTGTAAATCAGGTTTAGATACTTAAAACATCCACATCCATAACGACAAACGAGATGACCATGCGCAGATCTAGAGGTGGGTCGGAGGACCCAAAACCCACCACCAACCCCCTGGAATTTGCAGGTATTTAATATGTATATTTATGTACTGAATCAAGTAAAAGTGACCTTGGAATCTATCCCCACTAAAAAAAAAACCGCGGACCCCTCGTCGGAAACGCAGATCTATGTGAAATTTAATTGAAAAGTAATAAGTCTAAAGCTTGGAGGTCAACGCGTAACTCTCCACACAGCCCTACCCTACCCCACCCCATCCCCAATAAATACAAATGTACCCGGTAGGTTTTTCACATTTGGGAAATTAGACGTGGTTTTATTTTGCTTGACAACAATTTTCTGAGTCGGAATTTTTTGTGTGTGACTGGGATGAAACCCCACCCCCGATCCTTGAAAACTTCTTGGAATCGTGCCCGTTGACTTTAACTTTTCAACAGTCAGCTTCCCTTATTTATGCAGCAGTATACCTTCATCACTTGCAAACGATGTTTATTTTTCTCAGTTGATTCGATACTCAAGAAAGAAAGCCTATTTGGATCAATCTAAAGTGAAAAAAATAAAAGACGTGATAACACAAAAACGTAGCATGCAGTGAGGTGCATGTTAAACCGTTGATTTCTTCTCCCATTGGGGTGTTGATTTTGCGATATTGGATTCAAAAAATATGTACACAATAGATTCCTTCTACTACACATAACAAATGAAGGCAAAATTCATTATTAAATTGATATTTTCTAAGCGTCTTAACCCCACTCTTTTTAAAAACAATTAATATAATGACCATCTGCAGACCAACGGTTCCCCTACTTCTTGGGATGACTACTCTGAAATAAAGGATTTGTAATATTCAAATATGCAAGTTTGCATGCGCATTACTTTCATAAAACGAAGAATATAAAGAGTAAACTGAATCACATAAAGAGAAAAGATAGAACTTAATTGACATGTATTTATTCAGGGATCTTGAATCTTTTCCCCCAGACTAACTTTTTACATTAAAAATGTTCACTGAAAGACTGGATTGTTCCTTTTTGTTGTAGTATAATAAAAAAATTTAAAGTTTGACTTTTAAAAAAATTCTCTGCGTATAAAAAGAGTTATTGCGCTTTCATTGACATTGGAAAGTTTTTGGTGTGTCCAACTCAGGAGTGCATTTTTTTTATATCTTTGGTATTGTAAAATCAAAATACGACTGTATATTATCATTGTACTTCAAAACGGTATTAATATTAAAGCACCGTTTTATAAAGTTGTATATTGTCAGGAAAACGATATCGTATTACAATTTAATGATGACAATAATGTATATAATTGAAATATTTATTTTAAATGAATGTATCTTCGGAAGCCCATCAAAATCATGGTATCATCTAGAGGTATTTACGCTCTGGATTGATTTATCTTTTATTTTACAGCAGTTATGTGTTTTGAACCTCATTCCCAAATAAAAGGTAACTTTTGTGTTTTGAAATTGCAAATTATATCAAAATTTTAATGTTAAGTTTGACTATGTAGACGCATTTTTTTGCTACACTGTATAGATTATATTGTAGGAAATGTTCAGTCTCTGCTGAAGTTAACTCCCTGGAACTGGAAGCACCTGAACACCTCAGTCAAAGTGGACACTCCAGTCTCCGTGGACATTTCTGTCTTGTCTCACTACAGGCTCACGGGGATACATTTCAATAAGTATCAAAGTCTGTACACGAAGTTTTAGTTTTAAGTAAAATTGCTAGAAGTAGTTGAACTGTATGTCCGACTTTTTAAAAAAAATATCTGTTGATTTTTTTAATTATGGTTATAACAAATACACAAATGCATTTTTTTACAGACATACTAAAGCCAAAGGATTGTTCAGCTATTCTCAAATCTACCCCACAGTCAAAAGGAAGAAATGGCGTTTATGTCATCTACCCAGACTTAAAGACAAAGAAATTAGCCTACTGCGATATGACTACAGGGGGAGGGGGATGGACAGTAAGAATGTTTAAAACATTCTGTAGTGTAAAAACACATCAATTTTAAGCTTAGTAAAGTGTTTTCTCTTCATCGTCACTTTTGCATAAAAGTAAACATTTCATTTTTACAAAAAGAAAAATAACAGTAAACAATATGCTGGAATTGTGCATTGGGTTGTGAAGATAAGTGAAACCTCTTTTTCTTACAAAAGGTCATTCAACGGAGAATGGACGGGTCTATAGATTTTTATAGATCCTGGAATTCTTATAAAGAAGGATTTGGTAAAGTGGAAGGAGAATACTGGTTAGGTAAGTTTGTGCTAAAGATAAGATTTTTAAAAGCAATCCTTCGAAAATTGTGAACAATTTCGAAAAAAAGTTTTCCGGGTGATTCACCCTAGAGATATTTGTCTCTCCTCCTAAAAAATCTTTCGTACTCGCTGTGATTAGAATCAGATCCTCGATCTGCTCCTTTATTTTTTTTATTGTTGCTACACGAGGGGATTGATGATCTGATTTTAAGCAGATCGTTTCGTACCATATATAATTATCCCCCCCCCCCCCCCCAAAAAAAAAAAACCACTCGTATTTAATTTTCAGCTTACAAACTGAAGCAGGTTTAGTTTGACTAAGTGGTTAAATGAGCTACAAAATGATTTAAGTCTTTCAATGTTTTCAAGGAAATGAAGTAATTCATTCACTCACCACAAAAACAAAACAAGAACTAAGGGTGGATCTTCAGAATTTTTCAGACAAAAAAGCTTTTGCCAAATATTCAACATTTTCCCTTGGAAGCGAGTCCCAGAAACACAAGTTGACAGTTGACGGATACAGCGGCAATGCGGGTATGTTTGTTTCTCAGAAACTCACAATTACAAATTTTGATTTATAAATAACACGAAAGCCGAAATAAAAAAAAAATAATTAACTCACAAACACATGAATTTGATTGATAAGTTAGTTAGTAATTTATTTTTATAGTGACATTTGTACATAGTTAAATTCTTTTTTTTTTTTTTACAGACAGTATAATATAGCAATCAACACCCGGTGGCCCATGGGGCCTATATGCCACTTCAAACCCAAAATTGAAATACAATATATAAAGAGCTCAACATTAAGAGAAAAAAGTGCATAAAAAGCAGCCTAATTGTGATAAATATATAATTATGCATTTTGAATGCTTAGATTGGTAGTGTTTGTTCTAAGAATTATTGTAAGATGAAAATGACGCTGAAATAGATTTTTATTTTCTGAACATAAAGGACTGTCTTCACATAAATGAAAAATACAGTAAGTACTTTGCAACCTGTCTAAGATAATTTAAAATTAGGCTCTACGCATAGTAAATCCATATCCGACCACGACATTTGAGTAATGCCAGTGTTTTCAAAAGGTTTTGATCGATATTCAGAGTACAAAGGACAATGTAATAAAATGAATTTCGTCTGTAAGTACACAATTATTTCTAAAGCAAACTCTGCAAATTCGATCCTCAACAGGTTCACCATGATATCTATTTGATCCGCCGAAAAATGGCTGAAAAATTGCCGACTTGGCGTTAAACATTATTCATTCAATCAATCATATCTATTTGAATTTCAGTTGTCGAGATACAAAACAGATTTAGAGTTCCAAACCTTTCTTTTGTATACAGGGCTTGTGCCATGTTTTTGCTTACAAAGGTTAAAAATAGCAATATATGTTCGTTCAAAGCAGATTTTTTCAATAAAGAAGTTAATTCTAAATACAATTAGACAGTTTCTAGTGATCTGCCGAATCTAGTTTTGTTACAAATCCAAATGATATTTTTGTATATGTTAAAAGCTTGTTTACATTATGAAGAATTTTAAGCTCTGTATCTCCTTTGTAAAACAACAAATTATGTTCAAATTTTTGCTGATCATTAGAATTGTCTTAGTTAAGAATTGTAGGCCCTACACATAAAGATTGATTTTTAAAAAAAATTAGTTGAAACTGTGTCTATGTCCCTAAATAAAGATTCATAAAAAAACTATAGCAGAAATTCAGCAGTGAGGCTATCAAGAGCCGATTCTAATAGCTAACATTGCATTTATTTTGTAATAAGACTATATTCATAGTAAATAAATATTGTTTTAAAGGAGACGGCTTAAAATATAACAATGGTAGAGGATTTTCCACTAAAGACCAGGATAATGACTCCAATGGTGACTCCTGTGCTGTTTCGTGGAAAGGGGCGTGGTGGTTTAGAGATTGTAGCTACTCAGACCTAAACGGACCATATCACACGTCTGCTGTTAAATCGTAGGCCTCTGTAGTGTGGAAACACTTCGGTAATGAGCCCCGTTCCATGATGTTCTCAAAAATGATGTTCAGACCGAAAAGTTAAAAGTCAATAAAATGACTGCATAAATAAAATCAAAGATTTCTCTGTGTTTCATTGACATCTCATCATTTTCTGATATTGGCTGTTGAACGTCTTAAAAGAACAAACAATCTAACCAGGCTTATAGTAGGTACATGTAATAATAACAAAGACTTTTCGTTGGTTAAAAGAAATTCAGGATAGGACGCGGACAGTTGTACAAAAAGTATGGGCGTCCAAAATATCTTTGACAATTAGTCTAAAACTTTAAACATCATAAAAAAAATTAAAAGCTCTTAAGCGCTAGCAACTGCCATTCTCTCTCTCTCTCTCTCTCTCTCTCTCTCTCTCTCTCTCTCTGTAGAATCTACACCAGTCTTATCGAAAAAATCTTTCCTGGCCTCGGTTGTAGTTAGGGCATCAGAAAAAAAATAATGATGTTTATTATATGATTGAATAATTTCCATCTCTCTGATTGGCTGAGATCCGACTATGTTAGAAAAATATTACGTTGTATTGACCTGCACGTGACGTTCCAGGTCAATACAAGGATTTATTTCCTCTACATTGATCTAAAAATAGATTGGGAAATTCCAAATTGATACAAATTGTTTTAGAAAGCTATTTAAACGACTATGATTTTTATTTTCATGTGAACAAAACATAAGCGAATATATATATATCTTAGGTGAGGGTGGTAAGAGGGGATGCAGGGACTGCCCCTCCAACACTTGTACTGAACAACAATTTGTTTTTTACTTTTTGGCAGTCAGTTTTCCCTGATAATACTTCTTCCTTTCAAAATCTATCCTATAAAAAAGACTGACATTATATATTTCTTTCATGGCATCTAAAATTGATTTAAAAAAAACATTTCAAATTGATACGACAGGTAAGGTTTATTCACATTTTAATTCCGCTTCTCTCTTGTATTTGGCTAGGACTTAATAAAATGCAAACAAGTAATGAGCTGTATTATTTTATCAGTGAATCATATAATAAAACAATTATTGCTGTTTTTTCTGTCAATACAATGATTTAGCCATCTTCGAAGTACAATATTCACCTCGCCCTTCGGGCTCGGTGAATATTGTACTCCTCAGATGGCTAAATCATTGTATTGACCTCAAAAACCAGCAATAATTGTATAGTATCTTCTACCTTACCACAACAGCATAATGGACAAGATATATCGTCAACTTCCCTTACTTATGCAGCAATATACCTTCATCACCTGCATAAGGAGTATATATATCTATCTCAGTTGATTCGATACGCAAGAGCATGCTCTACTTATGAACCATTTCTAAAACGAGGTAAATTATTGACAACGAAGTTGATGAAACAAGAATATCAGCAGTCTCGATTAAAGTCATCATTTCGTAAGTTCTATGGTCGATACAATGACCTTGTCAGCAAATACAGTATATCATTTCACTAATTGGTAGTCCATTATTTATACACTGAATTGACGACGAATTTTCCTGTTATTTCCTGATCATGACAAGAAGCACACCGCGGATGTGACCGGTCAGCAGGGGATGCTCACTCCTCCATGGCACCTGATCCCACCTCTGATGTTTGGGAGGTCCGTGTTTGCTCTGCTCCTATTTTGTATCGTTCAATGGACTATGAGATTCAATACTGTTCGTTATCTCTATATCCTTATGTTACACCTATTAAAACCAACGATTAGCACACAGTTGTGCCGAAGCCTAGTATGCAGTATATTGTTGCGTCTTTTTCCAAAATTAAAATAAGGCGGAGCAGACAAAGGGCTCTAAAGTCTGGTATCAAGCGATAAAGAATTCCACTCATTTACTGCAGTTGGTACAAATGATGATTTGTAAGTTTTCCACATACATACAGATATACTATAATTTCGAAAGTTTCGTGTTGAATATACGGAAGCATTACATCACATGTAAGGTATAATCTCAGATAGGTAATCTGGTATTAAATCATTGTGAAATTTATACATGGTATTTAATCTTTGGTTCTTGCGTCTATCGCTGAGCGGTTCCAAGCCTATTTCCAAGATAGCCAATTAGAATATGTTCAAACCCATAAACATCTTCGGGTACCTTTTTCATAGGAGTTTTGGAAGTTCTTCGTTTTTGCTTGTGTTAAAATTACAACCTTAGTTTTTGAGGGATTATATTTTAGTAAGCATTTTTAGACAACTCTTCAAGAGATAAAAGATCATTATTCAGATGACTTTCTGTAGATTTGACACATTTAGATGCATACTGCAAACTGTTATCATCAGCAAATAGTCTACAAAAGCTTGGCATCTTATCAGCTACATCTTCACATAAATTTAAAATAACAATGGACCTAATACAGAGCCTTGTGGGACACCGGCATAAAGGGATTCCGATGGGGATACCAGATTTTTGTATATCACTCGTTCTGTTCTATTCTCTAAATGACTTTTTAACCAACAATACATATTATTCTTTATAACATAGATGTTTAGTTTATATAAGAGTCTTTTGTGCCAGACACGGTCAAAGGGCTTATGAATTACACAAGTCACAAAAAATCATACAGCAAGATTTGCCCTCATCAATACTTTAAACAATGTTATCATATGTTTCTAGCAACTGATATATCGTGACCATGTAAGAAACCAGCCTGGTGTATAGTTAGATAAAACCGCAGGATCATCATTTTTAAACAGAGGGATTACATTCGCTATATAATTTCCACTTTTTAGGAAAAACACAGTCGTTCAATGAACTGTTAAACAATAATGACAGAGGTTTAACAACATTTAGTTTCGTTGATCTTAACATTTTATGACTAATACACTCTTCTCCAATGGCTCTTTGTTAACAGGTAGTATAGATAAAATGTCAAATTTTTCTTTTACAGGATGATATTTTCAGTGAAAAGATACAATTTTTTTTAGATGTAAGCTAATCCTAAATCAAGAGACTTTATAAAAGTATTTTTTGTGTAACATAACAATTCAAGTAAGAGGGCCATGGGCCACAACGCTCACCTGAGTAGCTTTAGCCTTGCTGCTCTTCGACATATTTTCCCTTGTAATACCTACTGTGGCCCGACCCTACATCCAGGGGTCATGATTTGAACAATTTAGAATGTACACTATACCAAAATGCTTCCACATAAATATCAGCTATTCTGACACAGTGGTTCTTGAGAAAAGATTTCCTATATATTTCAATGTTAAACTTGGATTACCTATTGTGACCCCGCCCTACCCTCGGGGGTCATGATTTGTATAATTTAGAATCTACACTACCCCTGGATGATTCTACATAAGTTTCAGCATTTCTGGCCAAGTGGTTCTTGAGAAGATGTTTGAGCTCACCTGAGCCGAAGGCTCAAGTGAGCTTTTCTGATCAAAATTTGTCCGTTGTCTGTCGTTGTTGTCGTCGTAAACATTTCACAATTTCATCTTCTTCTCAAGAACCACTGCATGGGCCAATTTCAACCAAACTTGCCACAAAGTATCCTTGGGTGAAGGGTATTCAAGTTTATTCAAATGAAAGGCCAAGCCCATTACCAAGGGAAGATAATTGTGAATTTATGAAAAAATTAATGGCATATTTTAAAAATCTTCTTTTCAAGAACCATTGGACCAGGAAAGATAAAACTCACGTGGAAGCATCCTTAGGTAGTGTAGATATAAGTTTATTCAAATCATGACCCCTGGGGGTAGGATGGGGCTACAATGGCTGATCAACGTTTTACATAGTAAATATACATGTATAGGAATTTTTTTTAACATCTTCTTCCCCAGAACCACTGGACCAGGAAAGGTGAAACTTAAGTGGAAGCATCCTCAGGTAGTGTGGATTCAAGTTTCTTCAAGTCATGACCCCCGTGGGTAGTGTGGGGCCACAATTTGCTTTAGTTTTACATAGGAATACTGAGTATATAGAAAAAAATGTTTAAAATTCTTTTTCTTCAAAACCATTCGGCCAGTAAAGATGAAACTAATGTGGAAGCATCCTCAGGTAGTGTAGATTCTAGTTTGTTGAGGATAGAGCAGGGCCACAATGACTGATCAAAGTTTCACATAGGAAAAAGCTTTCAAAAATCTCCTTCTCAAGATCAGCAAAGCTATAATTGGTGATATTAATATGGAAACATCGTCAGTTAGAGTTCATTCAAGTTTGTTCATATCATGACCCCTGGAGTAAGGTGTGGCTATGATGGGCAATCAAATCTTTATAGAAATGTACAGAAATATACACGAAAAATCTTTAAAACTCTTCTTCTCAAGTATGGTGAAATTAGTCATGAAATGTATATGCTTTATTGATAAAGTGACATTCTCAAGTAATAAAATATTCATATCCCCCCTCACCCAACAGTAAACTTTTCAATACTGAGCCGATTTGTGTTTTCTAACTAGCCCATGTGCTCAGGTGAGCGATGTGGCACATGGGCCTCTTGTTTAATGACCCCACCCTATTTTTTTTTGATTATCACCCCTTATGAAATGACTTGGTCCTTCATTTTAATGATTTAAACTTCCCTTTACCCAAGGACGATTTGTACCAAGTTTGGTTAAAATTGGCTCTGTGGTTCTAGAGAAGAAGTCGAAAATGTAAAATGTTTACAGATAGACGGACGGACGGTCGACGAACAAAATGTGATCAGAAAAGCTCACTTGAGCCTTTGGCTCAGGTGAGCTATAAATACGATCATCCCTATCGTGCTTTTGAACCTACATTCCTCACATTCGCCAGACTGGCCCGGTAAATCAGACAGTGGCTTCTAGTAGTGACTTTTTAAATTTTGAAATAAAATATTTTAATAAACTATTTAATCTCTGGATCATCCTCTTGGTCTTCCAAATCATCAGCAGCGCTTAATATTCTCAGATTCTCAGCCGAGTCTGAAAGAACATTTTCATTCTCACACTCAATGGCATCACCAAAGACATCGTGTTCGCTAACCAGGACACTTCCTGTGGAGGAGAAGGGATTTGTCTTTCCCACATACTCTTGTGAAAAGATGTTTACCGCCGGAATTTCCACGCGATCGAATAACCTTTGAAAGGCAATCATGAATGGCGGGCCATCACAAAGAAGAACAGCTTCTAGCATTCCAATGTTCACGGAAACTGGCACTCAAGATTATCACGATGAGATGAACTCAACCCGGGAAACTTCACGAGGTGGTTCACTGAGCAGTTGCTCCCTAACCTACCGGGTAATTCAGTCATCATGATGGATAATGCTTCCTATCACAGTCATCTGGATCCTGAGTCTGTGTCCGAAATTGTCGGCGCGAAAGGCCGAGATCCAGTCTTGGCCTTATAGAAAGGGTATCCTTTATTGCCGGAATGATCAAGGTTGAATTGCTCACATTAGTAAAGCAGCATAAGCTCGTCCTAAGTATGTGATTGATGATTTGACTTGAAGACACATAGACAAGTCTACTGCGATATGACTACAGAGGGTGGATCTTCAGAATTTTTCAGGCAAAAAAGCATTTGCCAAATACTAGTACTCAATATTTTCCCTCGGAGGCGAGTCCCAGGAATACAAGTTGGAAGTTGATTGATACAGAGGTACTGCGGGTATGTTTGCTTTTTTCTTTAAATAAATGTTCTTATCTCAAAGACACGTGACTTTTTTATATTGTTGATTCATAAAAAAAAATACGATAACAAAAAGCTGGGAGGCCATCGAGAGCCTATTTTAATTGCAAACATTACATCTGTTAAAAAATTCAATATGAAAAAGTGAATGAGAAAATTGTCTGTATTTATCGATAAAGAAAAACAACAATGGAAAAAGTTTTCCACGAAAAACCAAGATAAAGACTCCAGTCGTGGCTCCTGTGCTGTCTCGAGGAAAGCAGCGTGGTGGTTTAATGTGATAGATCCGACCTAAATGGACTATACCACAAGTCTGCAGTCAAAACATGGGACAGTGTACTGTGGTATCACTTTGGCAATGAGCGTTCCTTGAAGTTTGCAAAAATGATGATAAACCCAAAATTTAAAAGTTACTAAAAGTGAATTAATAAATATTAAAAAAGCTTTGAAATATCTGTTTGTCATCATACTCTGATATTTGTTGTTGAACGTCTTAAGAGAGAGAGAGAGAAAAAAACAACATCATGCACGAGGACGAGGCTCTGTGAAACTAGTAATAAGTTATAATAACTTTATTTGTTAAAGAAATTCAGAATAGATAGCGGAACGTTGTGCAGAAAGTATAATCTTCCAAAATATTTTTGATAATTAATCTGAATCCTTTAAAAGCCGTTAAAAGCTAGCAACGACCTGAAACGTATCCTGCAACTACATAATACACATTATAAGTCAGCTTTTTTGATCACATTTTGCCCGTCGTCCGTCCGTCTGTTCACATTTATGACAAAGTTTTACATTGAAATATATAGGAAAAAACTTTAAAAATCTTCTTCTCAAGACGCACCGGACCAGAAAAGCTGAAACTTATGTGGAAGCATCCTGGGGTAGTGTAGATTCTAAATTGTTAACATCATGACCCCCAGGGGTTGGGCAGGGCCACAATAAGGAATCAAAGTTTTATTGAAATATATAGGAAAAACTTTAAAAATCTTCTTCTCAAGAACCACTGGACCAGAAAAGCTGAAACTTATGTGGAAGGATCCTCGGGTAGTGTAGATTCATGACCCCCAGGGGTTGGGCAGGGCCACAATAAGGAATCAAAGTTTTATAGAAATATATAGGAAAAACTTTTAAAATCTTTTTTTTCAAGAACCACTGGGACAGAAAAACTGAACCTTATTTAGAAGCATCATAGGGTAGTGTAAATTCTAAATTGTTAAAATTGTGACCTGGGGGGATACGGCGAGGCCACAATAGGTATTACAAGGGAGGAAATCTGGTGAAGAATGGTGTCACCAACGTAACTCAGTTGAGCAATGTGGCCCATGGGCTTGTTTTTCACTGGAATAAACGTTCGAATTCACGATATGCTTGTAAAAGATACAATATAATTTTTTTTTTTAGCTTTTTTCGAGAAGTAGAGTAAATAGAATTTAGATAATTAATACATTCACTTCCACTATGACAAACGAGATGACCGTACGCGGATCTGGAGGTGGGTGGGGAGGAAGGTATACGACCCCCTGGAATTTGCAGATTTATTAATTATGTGTCAACTGAATAAAGTAAAAGTAACCTTGGAACCCCCGCCTAAAAATTGCGGACCCCTCCTCGAAAATAAAACACAGATCTATATGAAATTTGTTTGAAAACTAATTGGTCTGGAGCTTGAAAGTTAACGCCCAGTTCCCCCCCCCCCCCCCCCCCCATGAAACAGGTTTTTTCACGTTTGGGAAAATTAGGGGATTTTTATTTTGCTTAAAGAAATTTCTGGGTTGGATTTTTTTTAACCCTTACAATACATTGAACGGTCACGTGTAGCGCTTATTTATGATGACGCCATACCCAGTGATTGCGCAAAATTTTGAATACACTAATAACACTTACAGTAATAAATGAAAGCGAAATTCATTATTTGAGATTTTCTAAGCGTCTTAATTCCTCTCATTTTAAAAACAAATAAATGATGACCATCTGCAGACCAACGGTTCGTGTACTGCTTGGGATGAGTACTCTGGAATAAGGGATTTGTAATCTTCAAATACACAAGTTTGCATGCGCAATACTTTCGTAAAAATGGAAAAGAAAGAGTTAATTAAAACACAGTAAGAGGGAAGAAAAAACTTTATATACATGTATTTATTCAGGGATCTAGAATCGGGGAATGAGGGCACTTTTTACCCAGACATGACTTTTTGCAATAAAAATGTTCACTGAAAGACTGGATTGTCCCCTTTTGTTGTAGTATAATAAATGAATTAAGTTTCACTTAATTTTTTTATGAACATTGGAATGCTCTGCGTATAAAAAGAGTTATTGAGCTTGCATTATCCTTGGAAAGTTTTTGGCGTGTCCAAATTAGGAGTACATTTTTTGACGGCTTTAGTATTATAAAATCAAAATACGACTGTATATTATCATTGTACAATGTACTTCAAAACAGTATTAATATTAAAGCATCTTATTATACAACTGTATATTGTCAGGAAAACGATATCGTATTACAATTTAATCATGACAATAATGTTTATAATTTTAAATGAATGTATCTTTGTAAGCCCATCAAAATCATGGTATCGTCTAGAGGTATTGACGCTCTGGGTTGGTTTATCTTTTGTTTTACAGCAGTTTTGTGTTTTGAACCTCATTCCCAAATAAAAGGTAACTTTTATGTTATGAAATTGCAAATCATATCAAAATTTTAATGTTAAGCTTGATTATGTAGACGCATTTTTTTGCTACACTGTATAGATTATATTGTAGGAAATGTTCAATCCCTACTACCTTTAACTACCTGGAACTGGAAGCACCTGAACACCTCAGTCAAAGTGGACACCCCGGTCTCCGTGGACATTTCTCTTCTGTCCCACTACAGACTCACTGGGAAACATTTCAGTAAGTATCAAAGTCTGGAAATAAAGTCTTAGTTTTAAGTAAAAATGCTAGAACTAGTTGAACTGTATGTCCGACTTTCTAAAAAAATATATCTGTTGATTTTTTTTAATTATGGTTATAACAAATACACAAATGCATTTTTTTACAGACATACTAAAGTCAAGGGATTGTTCAGCTATTCTCAAATCTACCCCGCATACAAAGGGAAGAAATGGCGTGTATGTCATCTACCCAGACTTAAAGACAAAGAAACTGGCTTACTGTGATATGACTACTGAAGGAGGGGGATGGACAGTAAGAATGTTTAAAACGTTCTGTAGTGAAAAACATTTTTATGTTTAGTGGAGTGTTTTCTCTTCATCGTCACTTTTGCATAAATGAAAACATTTCATTTTTACAAAGAGAAAAAATGACAGTAAACAATATGCTGGAATTGTGCATTGGGTTGTGAAGATAAGTGAAACCTCTTTTTCTTACAAAAGGTCATTCAACGGAGAATGGAAGGGTCTGTAGATTTTTATAGATCCTGATAGATCCTGGAATTCTTATAAGGAAGGATTTGGTAAAGCTGAAGGAGAATACTGGTCAGGTGAAATTGTGCTAAAGATAAGATTTTTAAAAGGCAATCCTTCGAAAATTGTGAACAATTTCGAAAAAAAAGTTTTCCAGGTGATTCACCCTAGAGATATTTGTCTTTTCTCCTAAAAAAGATCTTTCGTACCCATGCACTGTGATTAGAATCAGATCCTCTATCCGCTCCTTTATTTTTTATTGTCGCTACACGAGAGAATTGAGGATCTGATTTTAATAAGATTGTTTCCTACCATAATTACCCCCCCCCAAAAAAAAAAAACACTCGTATTTAAGTAAAGGAGAAAGTCCGAAAACTGTCCATTCTGTGAGAGAAAGAACTGTTCGAGGCCCGAAGGGCCGAGAATAGTTTTTTCTCTCACAGAATGGACAGTTTGAGGACTTTATCCTACTTAAAACATTTTCTCTATTGTTAACTTAATAAACTGTCCCAGGTGATGGTAATGTATTTGCTTTGATTACGTCATACACTTGATTGTCCAGAGAGTGAGAGAAGAAAAGAATATAGCTGTATATGTTTTACTTAATGGACAGTGCCAGGTAAATTTAGATTTAAATGATAGCTCACTTGATTTCTGACCACTTCCTATGTAAAGCTTCATGAAAGAGGATGTCCTCATCGGATGGAGAAAGTAATGCATATTTCTCCAAAATACAGGAAAAAGGTCGGTAAATACTCAAAAGTAGGTAGACACAAGCAGAAGCCTGTGGGTATGCAGAATCTGAAGTTAGTGTTCAAGTTTTGACAAAAAATATCGCAATCTTTGTGAACAATCAGGATTTAAGGGACACATATACGAAACATTCTTTGAGAACAACACCG